AAGGCCTAAACATGTATGTGGTGGAATCATGCATATTTAGTTTTTATTATGACCTTGATTATATAGATTTTTCCTTCACTAAATTTAAAGTGTTGCCCATGAGTTGCAACGGGATGAAAAGACCAAAAAATTTATGAAAAGTTGAGAACGATTTACATTATGTAATTAATTAAAACATAAATTTTCCGAAATACTTAGGTATTTTTACTCAGTTTTGTCAAAATTTCAGCTAGCAGTATGTTGGTTCATGGCAGGAAACAGTTATACGGTGCACTGTGCCATGATATCCTAGGGACGCACAAGCCAATTGTCTTTTTAAGGAGTTGCGATTTTTTCTTTTGCAAAGCATACAATTACTTTGTGATCAATCATGACAATCTCTTTGTTGTTTGTGTGTAACTACCAAATATTGAGACTACAGGCCTGTTCACTTTGATGTCAAAAAAACCTTACTATTTTAGCATAGTTGCTAAAATTTTGGCAACTTACCAAAGTTTTAACATAGTTACCAAAATTTTAGCAACTTACCAAAATTTTGGCAGGATTTCTTATATAGTTGCCAAAATTTAGCAGCAAACTAAATGTAGCCACTTTTTTGACAACTTTACCAAAAAATTTGGTAAGGTTATAAATGACATCAAAGTAAACAGGCCCTACACCTCGATGCAGCTTACAGGATATATTTTCCAGTCGGAGGAATCTGAAGCTTAGCTCACGAAGTCTAAAGAAAAAAAAAAGAATGCAACTGAAGAAAGAAAGTCAAAATAGGATGGATAGGCTTTTTTTTTTCATTTTTTAGCTGCTATACAGTCCCAACGGTCTGACACACAAATACCTAGCCGAAATTGAATACTCTCTCCATCCCTAAATATTTGACATCATGGACTCTTTTAAACATGTTTGACCGTTCGTTTTATTCAAAAACTTCTGTAAAATATGTAAAAGTATATGTATTATATTTAACAATGAATAAAATGATAGGAAAAAAATTAATAATTACTCAAATGTTTTGAATAAGCCAAACAATCAAATATATTTAAAAAAGTCAATGATGTTAAATATTTAGAGAGAGAGAGAGAGTAATATAGAAGAGAATTTCCATTGTAGAACTAATATAAGTGGCACGGTGAGGATTCTCCAAGAAGTATTCCATTAAAAAAAAGATTCTCCAAGAAGTATTTCCATTAAAAAAAAGAAGGGTTCGAAGCTGTTAAATGACTGTCGACAGTTTTCAGTTTTCTTGAGTGAAAACTGTCAAATTTTTAGGCCGTCGATTCCGTTTTAAGATTTGTGCTAAGATATTTTGCTACTGGATCTAAACCCTCTTTTCACAAGCTAGCCACATCATCACATGTTTATGGTAAATTTGTTTATGTTACATCTAAATTGCATTCCAGTTATATGCTAGTTACATTGTAGTTACACTATAATTACATTGTAATTATATTGTAAATATAGTGTAACTACACTATAACTACATTGTTATCTCTATATAAATTAGATATAAAGTTGTATATATTATTTTAATACATATATGTACCAGTTATTATTATTATAGTATAGTTCTAGTGAAATTATATATTATAGTTAGATTTGAAAGTTTTCCTAAAAAAAAACTCAACAGTTTTTTAGCTAGTCCCTATAAAAAGGATTCTCCAAGAGGTTCATTCTCCGTTTTTTTTTCTGGATTCATCACTGGTCCGAGTCATTTGGGGACGGAGCTTGAACATCGATTTCCAATCGAGGCCATGCCGTCAGTGGCATGGATCAGTGGGAACGGAGAGGATTGTTGCGTGGCCCGGCGAGAAAACCATCGCTGTCGCGTTGCCGCCAGTGGCGGCAGCATACATCGGGACCGGGAGCTCACCCTTGTCGTCGTCACGCGCCTCGCTTGCTGAATGGGGTTTTTGGTTGCCTGCAGCTGCAGGGGCCGAGACAAATCGGTGGCACTGGCAATCATATCATTCCATGGGAGAGTACACCAAATAACTGGCCACTCTGCCAAAGCCAGCCGCCCGCCACGCCAGTGTGAACTGAGATTTTTTCACATTTCCATCTTTTCTACTTACTTTATAAATAGGCCTTAAAAAAACATAATATATAGGAATAGATTATTTTCGACGCCATGATCCAACGTTAAGACGTACGCTAGTATTATTATCAGTGACACCGTCCTCCTACCAATATGACAGCATGATCAAGCTAGCGTGCCACCCGGATACGATGCTAACGACGACGCTGGTGCCATGGGTCAGTGCCAATACACAAGCTTTGTCCCTCTTCCATCCCCTCACCCACACACAAGACGCTAGCATCATTGACATCGTCCTTGAGGTTTGACATATTGAGGTTTGACCTATGGGGTTACGGTTGTAATTTAGATTTATTTAATTCAGTTGGCATCTATCATTATTTTATCTTTCAGCCGATGAGTTATCTACATCGGCTTATAAGTATTACATACAAGTTGGTTTTAGCCAATTACAATAGAGGTTTAATTGACTATTTAATCATTTGAATTTATCAACATTGGATCTCCAGTCGATGTATGCTTTAACCATCGGATCAGCAATTACTCTATTATATCATTTTCGGCCGATTGATTTTTATTGGATTATATTGTTGTATTATACAAATTCTCAATGTTTAGCCGATTATCTTTGTATCTGTCGATGATATGGGCCCGGGGGTCCCCCGAGGGAGAAGGCCGCTCCAAACCCACGTGGTGCCCCCGAGGGGGGTCGGGCCCGGGGTTGGAGTAGCGGCTGCCTCCCACTCTAGGGGTCGGGCTGCCCCAAGCCCCTCTACGCTCTGATTCGCTCGTACTCCTTGGGTGGGCGTTCCCAGCGCCCAACCACCGCATTTAATAATGTCCCGTCGGCCGTGGCACGCCTTATTTAATGCGATGGGCGTGCGCACTAACAGGCCATTCGTAGGTGGAATGACGGATATGATTGCGGGCAGGCATAGGATAGGGCGCCGTGCGCATGCGTCTACTGCTAGCAAAGGGCATGGCATGCGTCTGCCCCGCCTCGTCACCATTAATGAGCAGCTTTCTGCCTCTCGTTTGGACTCGGACCAGCTCTTCCCACGCTGGTCCGTTCGAGAGATCCCTACCCCTTGGTGGGGCCGGACGGCCAGAAGTCGTTGATAGTTGAGAAGGAATGACGCCCGTGTCGCTCGGCGTGATGGGATGGGGCTCATGCCACGGTAAGGTGTGGGTGGCCTCACACGTCGGGAGGACAAGACACATATCAATTACCTGTAAAAAATGTCTTCCTTTCCCTCGAAGCTAGGTCTTGGGCCTTTGTGGTAACCTCTTGAGATATAAAAGGAGGTCCATGCCTGGGGGTAAGGGGGATTGCAACCCAGAGAAAGGAAGCACTTGTATTCTTCCACCAGAATCAATCACACACAGGATTAGGGTATTACACTTCCACAACAGCCCGAACCTGTATAAACCACTTGTGTCTCCACAACTCCAGAGGGGCCCGTCCCCCTCTGCATCACCTTCCCGCTATCTCTCAAATCTTCTCTCGCACCCCTGGTCCACTATGTTTACCATTCGACAATATCATTGTCCATTCAAGTGTCAGAATCTACATTGGACTTATAGCCGAATGTTCAAAATCCTATCGACATCAGTTGGTATCGTTACATCGGCTTATTTGCTGATCAGATCATATATTTATATATCTTGTCAGTTGTAGAATCAAACTGACTGGTATGCTCACATCTCATCATAGATCAGGACCTGCAATGGACCTAAGCAGGTCTCTCAGACCATTGTGTCTGTCGACTTAGATTTGACACTATAGTCCGAGCGGCTGATTTTTCGTCAACAACAGCGCGCAGGGATGGGCGTGGTGACGGCGATGGTGCTCGTGCTGCGTGTGGATGGGGGTTGGGAGAAGAAGAGGAGGGGGAATAGAAGATCATTGTTGCGAACGAATCTTAAAAGCATATCTAACAATCTAAAATTCAAATGATACGAGACAGTTCTTTCTTTTTTTCCGCACGAGTGCAACGTTTTTTTTTTTTTTTTGGCGAGTGAAGTTTTGTCGTGGAAAACGAGCTGAGGATCTCCCGAGCCAACGAGATTTTTCTAGCCCCGCAAGCTTAGCTCGCTCCTAAAAGTCAGTTTTTTTTTTTATTATCCAAACAGATAGTCTTGCTATGTAAGGCTAGGGTAGCCTTTGCGGAGGAACCAAACGGGCTGTTAATTGTTTCCGTCAGCAATTAATGTGTAACCGCGGTTTTGGAGAAAACCACAGGGAAGCGATCATCGACAACCAATTGTATTTGTATAAACCGTATGTGATGTTCTTTTTTAAAAACACAGTACAAACTTGTATAAACCTCCGGAAGACTGGGCCGGCATATCTTGAGATCACGACAGGCGCCTCGCTGTCGACGGGTACGTCGCCTATCACTGAAAGAATAATTAGTCGTAAATACAAGCACCCGTGTCAATTCTAGAATTTAAACCTGGGTGAGCTGGTTCTATCACAAGGAACATAACCAGTTGAGTTATGTTCACTTCGCAACCGTATGTGATGTTGTGTCGTGCGTGCAGTGAAAATTGGGAAGCGTCCACGCGAGCAATCACGGCTATGGACACGTACGACACACGTGCAGACAAAGGTGATATAGGTCCTATTTTATTTCTCCAATAGGAGGTGGATGAAAATTAAGATTTTCGTGGCACGTTTTTTAAACTACTAAACGGTATGTTTCATGTGAAAACTTTCTATATGAAAGTTGCTCTAAAATATCATATTAATCTATTTTTCAAGTTGTCGGTCCAGTCTTCGAATATGCTCATAGAGGTAGGGTTTGCATACGTACTTTCATGGGGGTGAGCGCACATACGTTGTGAGTTTCTACGTTGTGCTGTATAATTTTTTAAAAAAATATATATATTAACACCACAAAAGAACACCACCATACTCCTATAAACCTAGGGGAGGGATGAAGCCAGAGAACTTCCAAGCTAAGCATCGCATCGCCTCGCCCACATACGAAGGACCGTGACGAGGCGCGTTGACACGCACGCATGCGTGGGTGTCCACGTGGGCAGCATACGTGCGAGAGCTCCCCCGCCGCCGGATCGCCGGAGCCCGCCTCATCCGTCCGTCCGTTCATCCCGTCCGGCGCCGCGGCTCAATAAATGCGGGCCCCAACGAGCTAAATCTTCCCAAAAGGGAGCTGAGTAGATAGATACTCCTCACTCCTCCACTCCGCTCTGCTGCTGCTGCTCTCGTCGTGGTGGTGGGAATGGCGGAGGAGCGGAGGAGGCGGAAGCGGGAGGAGGAGGAGGAGGCGGAGGAGTGGGAGAGGCGGAAGAGGGGGAGGAGGAAGAGGAGGAAGAGGAGGAGGAGGCGGGGAGGGGAGGAGGACCCCGTGGATGTGCTCGGGGAGGAGGTGATGGGGCGGGTGATGGAGCTCCTGGACGCACGCAGCGTGGCACGATGCACCGCGGTGTCCCGCGCCTGGCGCGGGGTCGCCGCCGACGACCGCCTCTGGGCACCCAAGGTCCCCCCTCTCTCTCTCTTTCTCTCTCGTTACAGCCTGCACGGCGCCTGTTCGACGAATTGCCGGCGAGGGGCCTCCGATTCCCCTCACGGGCGGTGGCTACTCTCGTGTCTTCTGTTAGGATCGAGCTTATCGTATTCGGGAGTGGTGTTGATTTGGAGCTTTTATAGAATTCTCGTTTATTGATTATCAAATTATGGTTGCCAAAAAGAGAAGAGCGCACATTCGGCTAGTGTGTTAGTACTGTTTTTGGTACAAAGGTCGTTATATATATAAACCCAAGAGGCTCGTTGTTGATTGCTCCTGTGCCCGTAGCATGGCGAGATAAGACAGAGAGAGTACGGCGTGTGACAGACGTACTGTACAAACTTGTTGTGACATTGACATGGTAGGAAAACAAGTACCTTTCCCGACAGGGATAACGATCTTTCTTCTATTCCCCCCAAGAGAGACAAAATTACGACAATAAGAAATGATAATCACACTGAATATTTTCTATCATTTTGCTCTGTCTATTCCTAAATTTTGAGTTGTTGTTCAATTTGATTTTCAACCAATCTTAGAATATTTCATATTTTAACAATTGACGGATCTTTGTATAGAGATGATTGTGATTTTGTAAAAAATGTTCATTTTTAGTCTGACTTACATTGAAGATCCTGAATTTCCATAATATCAATATATATAAAAGTCTGTGTATTTTAGATAGTCCTTTTTTTTTGTAATTTTCTTGGATTTTATTACTCGTGCCGATGGACACTCATGTCAAAGGTAGGTTGGGTGCCTCATGTAGTCATGTTTATGTCACCTTGAGCAGAAAGCCAGAAACCATGAGAAAGAGGAAACAAAACTTAACTAAATTCTCATGAACTAAAGAAAGTACAACAACAAAAATAGAAGTATTATAGGGATTGATATGAAAAATTAAAACCATCATTAAAGTCAATTTGCTTCTGTCCGTCTTAGAAACTAGGGATTGCTTTGCACTGCAAATGTTCATAGAGGGAATATCTATAAAACATAGAACACTCTTTTTATAAGCAATAATCTATAATCTCTGTCTCAAAATAGATTGCTATAATTTAAGACGGAGGAAATAACGTGATTACTATGCGGCTGTCGACATGTACAGAGTGCACTGATACACACACCCATCCATCCAACCCGTTTCGTCTTTTGTGGCTCCAGACTTCCGAGCTAAGCATCGCCCATAAAAAGCAACCCAACCCACACATGCATGTGTCCACGTGGGCACCCTGGCACGCTAGCTGCCACGTAGGAACACCCCTCTTGCCGCCACCCGCTCCTCCGCCACTGGATCGCCAGAGCTCCCCCTCATCCTTCCATCCGTCTGACACCCTGCGCCTCTATAAATGCGCGCCCCAACGACCTTCCCCAAAAGGCAAGCGATCTGCGCCACGGCAACGGCCCCACCTAGCTGAGTAGATCACTCACTCACTCCTCCCCTCCTCTCCTCTCCACTCTGCTCTGCTCTGCTGCTCGGCTCTGCTTGTATTCCTCACACGAGCGTTTAATTTAGCATTGACTGCTCTCATGCCCTCTGTTAGGATCAGGATCATATTGGAGGGGATGTTGATTTCAAGCAAGCATTCGGCTAGTACAGTTAACAGTCACACAGTTTGGTACCAACTACCAAGGTTATTATCTAAATCCCAAAAGGGTAATTGTTGACTCGTGGAAGTGCGAGATAAGAAGGGATGTTCGGTGTGTGACAGACTCATGTGTACAAACTTTGTGTGACATTGACATGGTGGGAAAAAAAACAATTATTCTATCAGACAGGGATAAAGTTGTTTCTTTGATTCCCCGAAAAGATACAAAATCGCAGCAATGATAAACGAGACGCTTTGAAATATTTTCTATTAGATAGAACTTTTCCAAGTGTAATTCTTGTTTTTCTTTTAAGTATTGATCTTTTTTATTTTTCGATTAATCTTGGCTGTCAATGGTATCATAGTATTTTGTGCACATTTCATCTTTTAACAATTGACATCTCTAGGAGTATTTTGTGCAGTATATGGACAATCGTGCATTTCTCTGAAAGTATTAATTTAGTCTTATCCATATTGATTATCCTGAATTTCCACGATATCAATTAATTTACATAAAAAATCATATATTTTATTTGTTTATGTATTGTCGTTTTTTTGTTTTCAATTTTCTAGGATTTAAACACTCACAGCAATGAAATAAAAGTCGCTCATGACTAATGTCAAAGGTAGTTCAGGTGGCTCATATTTTTGTTACCGTAAGCAGACCCATGACCATGAAACAGTGGAAAAGACTTAATTCAGCTCAAATTTAGCTTCAGAATCTGAGTCTCCAATACTCCTATTTTGAAGTTACGAGTTCTTGCATTCATTTAACAAGGGAATGCAGATCCCAAATGTAAACTGAGAATTCTTCATTAAATATAGAGAGGGGAGAAGGGGTGCTATGGTTAATAATACTATTTCTTTGCTGACAGTCACAAGCAAATCTTGACCATTGTTTTATCTGCAGTGTGCTGAATTGATGGCGGGAAAGGCACACATTCCTCGTTTGACTATGATACCCACTGCATCAAAATTGTCTACCTATTCAATGGCCATCGCGGATGGCAAACGGGTAAGTGCTAGCAAGGCAGCAATTTACTCTTGTGATATTTGTTAAAGATGCAATATATCAACAACATTGAGATGGTGATGCACTGTGTTGATGTGCTAGTGGTGCTTTAACCACAACTAAACGAAAAGATAACCTCCGGACTTTTGGAGTAATTTGCCGCCATTTTCTTATCTTCTTTCCAGCAACCAAAACAATGAGAATTTTATGCTATAGAAATTTTCTCTTATTTTCATAGTTTGTGAAACATTGGCATGGGGAAGTTCTTTGTGGTTACCAACTTGATTTATCCTAACAGAAAATAAAATATCTCAAGAAAGATTATATTATTTTGGATTGTTCTCTTGTTCAGACTCGGATCACAAAAGAGGACCTCTGCGATCATGATTGGGAATTCCGTTTCACTATAGTAAGTTTTCGCTAACCTGTCATCCAATCTGCATGGTTTGAGATATGTGTTTATATTAGCCGGCATATCTTAATGCTAGTGGCTGCTACTGCACAACTGACTTACTAGTTTTTTAGTTCAAATGGTTTTAGTCAACCACACCTGATGGATGCATGGGAATCATGAGTTCATGACAACTGTCAGCATCTGGTCTAGCTTCTTCAGATGTCTTAGCTTCCAAATGCAATGAGGGAGAGTTGATGCATATCTCTTCGTGGTGGTAATTAAAGGTCGTAAACTTTGATTCATTGATTTGTCTGGTCAAGGATGATATTTGACTATTGATTTTTCTTGAGCATCACCTAAAACATATATACAAAAACTTTGAAAACCATACTTGTGTTCGTCTCTCTTACACTAAGCAACCGCATGATGATCTGATGAATGAATTATTCATAGCATAAAATCTGTGATGTATCATGGCCATAAATTTAAATTCAACTCTCCACCATGTGCAGCATGCAGTTATCTGCTCAAAATTTGTAATTTGACGATATATTGTTAGGCATTACCAGAAAAAAGGCTTAATAAGCCAACACATTTGTTTTAGTTTTTTTAGTAAGAACTAAATCTGCTTTGCAAATGAAATGTACAATTATACTCCAGATGAGTAATACCAAAATATAACCATTCTACACTTTTTGTAATTATATGATTAATCATGATGTTCATAATTTCTGTTTCCTTTGCCCGTGCAGGCAGCACCAGAATATTGGAGAAACCTGGATCCATCATGGAAACATACCGGTCCACCAATGCGACGTTACTTCCACCCTGATGGTTACCACAGCGCAGATCCTCATGATGCTGTATGGGGTGGCCATGAGTGCACGTACACGATCATAACAAGCTTTGCTGGTAATGGATGTATCAGGGATCATTATGTGAGGATCAATCGGTGGCCACCGATGAAAGTTTCAAGGAAGGAGGATTGGAGCTGGGAGCTATCCAACCATCTTTACCGCTACAACAGCATCCCTGACACTGACAAGAAGGGATGTACAGGTCCTCTGTTCCCCGTTTGGTGAATGAATCCACTTCTATGGTAGTAGCAGTGACCGGTAATAGTCGCGATCTCCAACTCATAGAAACTGGCCTCGGATCGTTCCTGACCCTGAGGAACGTGATAACGAGAGGCTCTGTTTGGCAGTTATGAGCTATGAACACCAATGGAGATTAAGCTTACTTATGTGGTATACTGGTATGTAACGTACTCCTATATAGTACTACATGATTTCCTGTGCGTTGCTGCTGGAATTGGTATAAAACTTATGTTTGCAAATTTGATGATAAGAAATTTAGAAGGCATAGGTATATCTAAAAATGCTAAGCTATAACTTAAATCGAAATAGAAATACATAATATTATAATTTATAAGAAAAACTTGACATATAGAAAAAAAAAGATGATATTACAATAGTACGTTGATATCGTGAATGATCGATTATTGAAATGTCTTACGATCGATTATTGATACCGTAAATATTATAGAACTCTCAACGTAGTAGATGCTAACTCTATATTACTTTCTTGGAAGAATCCCTTATATACCACTAGAAATTGACCAATTCCCTTATATACCACTCAAAATTGGCTTTCTCCTATGTATCACTGGTTTAAGTTTTTTCACCTTTTTTATGTCACTCCCAGCACTACAGTTTTAGTTGACTGTTAGTCAAATGTTAGTTTTTTTTCGTAAATGACCAATATGCCATCTCAACTTAAAAAAATGTGTAAACTTAAAAAAATCATAACTAATTTATTTTAAATCCTTTTTGAGTGAACAAAAATTTGTCAGAACCAGTGAAAAATGATCTTTGTATTAAAAATATTGTTGAAAACTACATGTTTCATGCTTATATTAAAAATTTATTTGTGATGGTGATGGCTAAAATTGCATGTGATGCAAAAAATAATAATCAATTTTCATATGTTATATCTTTTTTTGGATAGATTTTCATATGTTGTATCCAGTATTCTCTCCGTCTCAAAATATAAGCATTTATAGCATAGTGACAGGTCAAACATTTTTAACTTTGACCAATAATAGAAAAAAATATAAAAAAAATCAATCATTTAAAATTGATATTACTAGATATATATCATTAAACAAACTATCATAATATGCAACTCTTTTTATTTAAAACATTTTATTTTTATAGATATTATTGGTCAAAGTAGCATCTCGTAGACCGTGTCAGGATCCAAAAATGCTTATATTTTGGGATGGAGGGAGTAGCTATATTAGTACTAAAATACTTATTATTGGTTGTATACCAACTCTCAAGGGCAAATGCGTCTTTTTATTATGAAGTTAACGGTCAACTAGCGGTGGAGCGACGGCAATGGCATAAAAGGGAGGACAAACTTGAACCGGTGGCATAGAAGGGAGAAGCCAATTTAAAGTGGCATATAAGAGAACCGATTAATTTAGAGTGGCATATTAGGGATTCTCTCTAATTTCTTTGTGCTTGGTGATTTGCGCTTTCACTCATCGTTTATCTTCTTGGGTTATTAGCCATTGCCACATGTTATATTTTAAAAGTTAACTTCAAAGTTGATTTTGGATTTTTTTTAAAAAAAACAAACTATTCAAACTTGAAAGAATAGTTTATTATTCCACGGTTTAACGATCACAACCAATCGGAAAAAAAATGTTTCTCGAACGTCAATGGTGTGTGGTGTGGCATGAATCAACCAGCCGAAACGAGCGAAAACGATCATGTGGTGCTTTGCTCTCCCCTTCCGAATATTGTTGGATACGACTACAGTGTTACTATGCGCCATATGTCTGGAACTGGAACACAATCTTACCGTGAGGCATAGGCTGTGTTTAGTTCCACATCAAAATTGAAAATTTGAAGAAATTAAAACGATAAGATGAAAAAGTTAAAAATTTACGTGTGTAAGAAAGTTCGATGTGACGGAAAAGGTGGTGTCCAAAGGTTAGGCTTGACGGGGATTGGAGCAATTGTGAGTGCTAAAAGTTGTTATATTTTAGAACGGAAGTAGTACTGTATGTATGACAATGAAGGCTACAGCTGATTGATATCCATGTAGTACCATGCAGATGCAGGGGACGAATATATAGAGTAGCAGGAGGAGCCGGGTCGAGTTGACGATACGAGGACGATTCGGAATCTGACTCCGGTTATGGGATTCGGATTCGGGTTTGAGTTTGATTCGGACCATGGCCCGGCAAGCTGACATGTGGGCCGGGGAAGCTGGTCCGTGACACGTAGGACAGGGTCCGGGCCAACCGCGCGGCCGCACATTTTGATCTCCATCGGGAGTGCCACGTGTGGCTCGAGTCGTTCGTCTTGGCGCCACCACGCCCCGTAGCGGAGGAGGACGAGCCATATACCGGAGTACACTTTTCGGTCTCGGACTGTCTCCTCCGCTCGCCATTGTCACTTACTACTATTCCCGACACGTAGCTACAAGCTACTCCCACTCCTACTCCTAGCATCGAGCATGGCAGTGAATCGATTTGAATCCGATCTGAAATTCTGAATGGACGGGGCGCCGGGCGATGCATAGTAGTACTAGCTAGTACTTCCCGTAGAGCTGTGCGAAGAGAACAAAAAAAACATTGAGGCGCACGCCGGCACGCCACACTCAACGGCGTGGCGCCTCAAAGGCCGTAAAAACAGACCACATGACTGTCCAGATTCGTTGTTCTAGAAGGGATCACATCTCCTCCTAAGTTAAGTTTTTTTTGGAACGGAGGAAGTAGGCCGCAACAATCTGGCTTCGTCCAGAGAAATCTAGGATTATATTTCAATATAATGGATTGGATAAAATATCACTGTCAATCAAGATATCAATGTCCGAATGGATCCTCTTCTTCCTCCCTCCAACGTCATTTGTGCTTATTGTCGGCTACCGCACACCATTTCCAGCCATCCACCTCGCCTCATCAAGTGGAGCGGTAGCTCGACGGTGGCGGCGAGATGCTGCTGGCGGTGACGGAGCACAGCCAGCACGGGCTTCTCGAAGAGCGGGATTGCATCGAGCGTGATCGTGTACTTGGCCGCAAGAGCTTATGCGGTCCCGCATTGGGACAGGAGGAATGAGGAACTAGTTGCAAAAGAAATCGTTGATGGCACACACAACGAGGTTGAGGGCGTTCGTGACGTCGGCTCAACAAGGAAGAAGTGGAGAGAGCGGAAGGGGGCACGGAGGAAGCAGTAGGCGGACAATGGCGAGGAGGATATGGGGATGTGGGTCCTGAGAATCAATAGCGGGAGGAATCATAACGAATGGTTAGATATGGCATACGGCGACTGCCGCTGAGCACAAATGGTGTTGGAGGGTGGAGAAAAAAGAAACAAGGGTAAATTCGTCGCGAATGCATTGAGACATGGATATTTTAGGTACAATGATATTTTACTGAATCCATTTTATAAAGTGAAATTTTATTGAATCTTTTTTTTTTCTCCTAGACTATAGTACAATGCTACTACTCCTATAGACTATAGTGCATTCCTGTAGCGCTGACACATCAAAACCAGGTAAAATTGGTTCTCTAGGCAACTTACGTGCCAATGTGCCATGAAGTGGAAAATATTTTGATTACTCGCACAGAGTTTGCTTTTTAAAAAAAGGGTATGTTGGCGTACCATTTTATCCTTGTATGCAAGGTCAACAATTAAATATATTTAATTCATATCAATAATATGATCTACTAAAATAATGTTTTTTTAAAATCATATAGATTCTATCATGAAATTCTGTAGGTACTACGCCATCCAAACTGGAATAAAAGTTCCTTAGCTACTAATTCCAAGCGTGTGGCACCATTACGTATAGTATCCTGTTGTTCCTATGAAAATATCATATACCAAGAATGGAGCCAATTGGAACACATGAAGATAATCTGCATGATGTTAGACATTTTTTTAGGGTTAAAAACTACGGCAACGCCAAATTGACCAACATATAGCACTAGCTCCAAATAAAATCATTTTTTTTGGGTCTAGGCACTCCCTTTAGCCAGTTACCAAAAATATCTTTTGCATTGTGGGTAGGGGGTATTGAAGGCAAAGAAGATACATTGCTAAGCAAAACGTGCAACATGACAGTCAAAGAAAAAATATTGGATGATCTCTTGTATATTAAAAAACAACATTGCTTGTTCCCCCTCCATTTTCTCTTTATGAGGTTATTTTTTGTCAAGATTACTTTTTTTTAAGAAATCACATAAATACTTTGATTTTTAGTGGTACCTTTACCTCCCATAAATTCTCTTGCGGATTCTTACATTAGAATAAACTATTATAATATTTTACTCTTTTTATTTAAAATATTTTATTTTTATAGATATGTTTAATTAAAGTAGCATCTGAAAATTATGTTGAAGTTTAAAAATACTTTGTATTTTAAGACGAAGAGGATATGTTTAATTCATATCGTGTGGGTCTGGGCCTCCGGAGAACCCGTCAACCCGCCAATTGATACCGGGGGCAGGGGAAGACGAGGCGGCCTACTGTGCGCGTCGAACAAGTGGACCGAGGGCCGAGGGCCGAGGAGAGCCGTCGATTGGTGTAGTTCTCCTCCTCCATCGCTACATCAGACGGTGGAAAGCAGACGAACGTTGCGGCAGTCGGTGACAAAAAAGAACAGTGCAGCTGGGCGTTAAAGAAAAAAAAAAGCAGCAGTAATAACTCACGAGGGTAAAAAGCAGCTCCCTCCTAGCCACGGACCTCAAAATTTTGATAATTTGAGTTGAGAGGGAGAGGAGGAGAAGACGGCGATGGGTTTAGGGTTTTAGCAGGCGGAGGTAGAGCGCCGGCGAGGTCTACCGCGGCTGGGTCGGCATGGCCACTGTGGAAGGGAGACGGGGCTGGATACCGTGGGCTAGGAGGGCTATGGGCGAGGACGCCGAGATGGGGAGCTTGAGGAGGGCGGCGGCGGCGGGAGAGGACGACGAGAAGGGGGTACCGGAGAGCGAGACGGCGGCGAAGGGAGACGGGGCGGCGAGCTACGGGTACATCCCTGTGCCGCAGGACGCCGATGGGGACAAGTGCGTTGTTCTTGTTCCCACGGCGAACGCCGCTGACTGGAGCGTCGCGGAGATGAAGGACGGCGGCGGCGGCGGAGGAGGAGGAGAGGATGCTACGGCCACCACCAAGATGATCCAGATGCGTCCCGTTGGGCTAGGCATCGCTCGTACCAGACCGGGAGGCGACCGCCTTGACGGCATCGAGGACGGCATCGAGGACGACATCGACGAGGTGAAAGATCCAGGGGAGGATCAGGCCGTACACCAACCGATGCTGCCGGTTCTCGTCAGGGGCTCAGCGCCAGAGAAGAGTGATTTGGTTCGTTTGCTTGTTTTGTTTTGGGAAGATTTGGGATGGGTTTATTGAAAGTTTGTTTTCGTCTGGGTAGATTTTGAGATGGATTCATTGAAAGTTTGTTTTGGGTCGATTTAAGATGGATTTATTGAAAAAACCTAGCTTTTAGGTTGTGTTTAGTTCACACAAAAATTGGAAATTTTGTTGAAATTAGAACGATGTGACCGAAAAGTTGAAAGTTTATGTTTTTGGAAACTTCCAACTTTTCCATCACATCAAAACTTTTCTACACACAAATTTTTAACTTCTTCGTCACATCGTTCCAATTTTATCCAAACTTTTAATTTTAGTGTGAACTAAGCACAACCTAAACTCGGCCTTAACCGTGTGCTTCCAACTTGAAACAGGAAAAAAACTGGGATCGAGATCAAGTGGGTTATGGTGTGCATTTGTTGGGCTCCTTCATCTATCCTGCAGCCGTGGCAATCTCAATGAAGGATCACCCAGGAGATTTAACTGCGGTGCTCTTGATTTTTGGGACGATGTGGTGCATTTTGGCTATGGGTTTTCTTCTTCATTTGCATGCTAAGGAATCCAAGGCTCTTCAGCGCTTTACATCTATTATCCCTAGAGTCTTCCTTTCATGCTTCTCATATCTAGTCATGTACCACATTTCCTTCCTTATACCCAACAAGAAGGCAGCCCATATTTTCTGGTATGTGAAAGTGACAGTACTTCTGTCACTCTTCCATGCTGGAATTCTGATTTGGGTAAGGAGAAACACAAAACATTCATTCTGTGAAATTTTGCCATTAGATATGTTCTCTCTCTAGTTACACTGTTATAATAAAGTTTTTTTTTCATTTAGGTTGTAATCCACAAGATTTTGAAGAAACATTCGAATATCTCAATGCATCAGGACACTCCTATCAATGATTTCAAATATGTACCCAGGTATATACTTCATTATTTTTAGTATTTCTAGTAAAATAATAACATAAAAGACCACTAATAACTTTATTTGTGCAGAAATGATCTATTTGATATTGATGAATATGGGCACTACATCCCATCCAGACCAAGGTAAGGACTAAGGAATCATTATGTGTTTGATATTGATGCCAAATAGTTGCATCGCAAAACACTTCATTATTTCAATTGTGTGGACAGATCTGAATTGCAAACCACCTCATCTCGGTTCAGGGGCAAAAGGAGCCAATCAAAGAGTACATCAAGCAGAGAGAAGCAACGGAACTTGTGAAAGTTGAGGTTGGTTCTTTTTTGAGCAATGCAAAAACTCTTCTCACTACAATATTATGCCTCATGACAAAACACAAAAATGTCATCCATAGTCCACTATTGATGATGAATCTAGTGATATCATCATAGAGCTGTAACAGGGCAGGTCCCGTGGTTGGTTCAGTGACGTTTTGGAAAATGGCGTCATAAATAAAATATCGTAGTAAATTTGACCAGGAAATTATTCTTATGTTCCTTATACTTGTATGTTAAATTCAAGTTGACTTGAATCGGTTAAGTTCTCATTTTAAAGGATTGGTTTTTCTGTCTAGCCTTGAGAGGAAGAATCCAAGTAGCTAAGCAATTAAAAAAGATGAAGTGTGTAAATTGTGTGGGATAGAAGAAGATGCTGATCACCTTCTCTTCAGATGTGCTCCTGCCCAGTTTCTTTGGTGTTGTTTTAGAGATGCTTTTAACTGGGATAGAGTATTAAATTGTGTAAATTGTGTACGACTGCATCAACTCGTCATCGCTATTGTGATGACTGCTACACGGCGCAAAAGGACCAACCAAAGTGGTGGCCTCATTGCCAACGACGTCCTGACATATGCAAGACGTCCCCAATGGCATCCTCTGACATCTACAAGGTGCAAGATGCTAACAATTGCAGTTTCATCTTCACACCATGGCGTAAATATTTTTTTTTCGCCTTCGGCTACTTTATGATCAGCTATATCGACGAACGTCTACAACAAGAATCATCTACGGAAACTCCAGTCAAAACGTCCGTGTCATCGCTATCGTCCATGACACTCCCGCTATGACTGCGGGAGGGAATAGAGGAGAGTCAAGGGACGACACAGAAGGGGACGCAGGCACCAGGTGGAGGACCGTCCATCAGAGATGCAATCGATGATGGTGACTCGAAGAAGATGAAGAAATAGAAGATTTCAAATCCAGTCGCAATCGTTAGCTTCGCTCCCGTTACGACTGAGGGGGAATGTTAGAGGTATAATATGCCAGTTAGAGATAAGAGTCAAATACAAATATAGAGATAAGATATATCCTAGAGATAAGATAGAGTCCTAGAGATAAGATAGAGTCCTAGAGATAGAATCCTAGAGATAAAATATAACAATTAGATTTTTCCACACCTACCTCTAGAGCTGACCTCTTAGAAATCATGTAAAATAAGGGTGGGAAAAAGAACTTTGCTTGGCTCACGATGTTTGCTGCTTGTTTCTAGGCGTTGTGGCTAATGAGGAATGATTGGGTATTAACAATAAACTACTTTTTGATGTGATTTAACTTGCCTTATAAAGTTGTTTCATTTCTGATGCAGTGGATACATCTGGCGCCTGTGAAGTCAAGGGGAGATTTGGATGCGTCAAGGGGACCGTTGCTTGCCAGCATCCGCGAGATAGGAGATCATTGCAACAGCCCTGCAAACGATGATTCGCTGTGATTATATTTCCTGGCTTGTCTTTTGCTGTGCCAGCAGCCCCTGAGAGACTGCGTGATCCATGCTTTGGTTGATAGCTGGAATCCCCAGCAGATGTTTTCTTTTGTTTCTCTAGACTATATATGAACTCTTATGCTTTCAAGAAAAAGCAGGGCGTAATGCCTTTTGTCCAAATTGTTTTTATAGGATTGGTGTATCTTCCTACTCTAAGCATGTCCAAATATTTTAAAATATGGGATTTTTTAGAGTACCTTGAAATGAACGTGAGCCATCTGTTCTAGGGGTAGTAGAACTCGGGGAGTGGTAATTTTGGAAATAAAAGTGTAGTAGAACTTGTCCAGTACAAATCGTCAGATTTAGGCTCGGTTTAGTTCTCACGCAAAAACTTTTTATCTTATCACATCGAATGTTTGGACACGTGCATAGATATTAAATATAAATAAAAAACTAACCACACAGATTACGTGCAAATTGCGAGACGAATTTTTTAAGTCTAATTGTTCCATGAGTTAACGAATTTGCTATAGTAAGCATTTGCTAATGACTAATTAATTAGGCTTAATAAATTTGTTTCGCAATTTACATGTGGAATCTATAATTTTGTTTTGTTATTAGTCTACGTTTAATATTTCAAACGTGTGTCCGTATATCCGATGTATCACGTCAAAATTTTTCACCCTGGAACTAAAACGTCTTAGTTACAACATTTTTCTAGCAATAGAGGGATTTGCCTCTCGTTCCATTACTAGAAATGTTAACATAACATTTTTACAACTTACAAGCAACACCTTTGAAATACACTTTATTCACCCCCTACAAGGCGTGTAACTGTTATAAAAAAGTACAAACATGTCAAAAATATAAAAAAATCACTTGACATATTGGATTAACCTAACATGCAAGGCGAATGATGTTATAGCCTGTCACTCCGAAGGCAACAGCACCCAGTGCGTAAAACACCAACATTACTCTTCCCGTCACATCCAGGTGCAACACGAAAGCCAACACGAGGCAAGCTACAAAGATTGCAAACGCTCCACTCGTAATAAATAGCTGAAAAGAGAAAAAAAAAGGAAGAAAATTGTTAGTAAAAGATATGCATGGATCTCACCGTATACGGGAAATTTTGTATAACATCGTTGTTTGAAATTTTGTACTTTGAATGCAAAGAAAAAAAAAGGTATTTCAGAGGCAGTTAGCAAGCATGTACATTTATTAATTTTCTATTAATTAGTTGAAATTATTTAGTATTAACTAATTTTTGTTACTGGATACATATTTTTAAGCATGCATAATTTCTCTCGTACTATAATTAATTAATTAGTGGAAGGAAACACAAGCTTTACCGTGAGGCATAGCTTGGATGGGGCATCCAAAGTCTGTATCCCGTCACTCTCGGCGGGGATCGGAGCGGGCGCCGCCGCCGCCATCTTCCCTTCCTCCATCCTGCTCGCCTTAATGTCGGACAAAAACACCTTGCCCATGGCGCAACCGCTGCCGCCCCCGCCGCCGCCGCCGGAGTTCAGACGAATCGAGTCCCGGCCGGCGAGCAAGAGGAGATATGTATGCGTGTGTGTTGTTATGTACCGTAAGACTGTGTTTAGTTCACACTAAAGTTTGGAAGTTTGGTTAAAGTTTAAAAGTTTAGTTGAAATTGGTATGATATGATAGAAAAGTTGTGTATGTATGAAATGTTTGATGTGATGGAAAGTTAAACAGGCCTTGACGATATAGGCTACAGCGTGATTGATATCAATGTAGTACTAGCATGCAAAGCACGAATATACTACCTCCGTCCTAAAATGTAGCTATTCTAGCACAGTACTTTGTCCCAAAATGAAACTATTTTTCTACCTACCTTCTCCTCTCAACCAATCACAACCATTCTTTTTCAACTACTTTCTCTTTTCAACCAATCATACACCTTTTTTAATCATTCTCATATACTTTCTTAATACCCGTGCCAACCTAAAAAATGCTTACATTTTGGACGGAGGAAGTATAGAGCAGCAGGACAAGACGAGGACGATTCGGAATCTGCGTTGGTTATCGGATTCGGATTCGGATTGGGAGTAATTAATTACTCCTACTACTACTAGTGTTACGAGCTGGCATGTTGGACCGGCAGGATGACGTGGAGTGTGACACGCGCGCCACGTAGGAAAGGATCCGGGCCCACCACGCGCCTCTATTTTGATCTCCATTCGGTGGCGCGCGCGAATGGGCGTGTGGGCTGTGGCTCTCGTCGTTCTTGGCGCCACCACATCGCGGGAGATGAGCCACACAAGCGTCTCCTCCTCCTCCTCCTCCGCCTCATCTCCACCACCACCGCGAGCTCGCCAGCGCCACGATTCCCGAGGCCCAGGAGAGCGCGAGCCGCCGCCGCCGCAGCAGCAGCCTAGCTCCTAGCTAGCCAGCCATGGCGCTCGCCCACCAGCTGGTCGCCAACCGGCCGCTCCTCCCCACCCCGGCGCCGCGCGTCCCCAGGGCCAGCATCAGCAACGCGCGGCCGCAGCCACTTCTTGGCCGGGACTGCCGCCTGACGCTGCTGCGGGCGGAGAGGAGGACGCTCGCCGTCGCCCGGGCGTCGTCGTCGTCGTCGTCGTCGTCGTCGCAGACGGAGCCCAAGTCGGAGGGCGGCGAGGCGGCGGCGGCGGAGGGGGAGGAGCAGCCGTACGAGGAGTACGAGGTGGAGATCCTGAAGCCGTACGGGCTCAAGTTCGCCAAGGGCCGCGACGGCGGCACCTACATCGAGGCCATCCTCCCCGGCGCCGCCGCCGACCAGACCGGCAAGTTCGAAGTCGGCGACAAGGTCCTCGCCACCAGGTCAGTCCACCGATTCTTGCACACAATTCACACACTTCAGAAACATCGATTTGATCAAGAACACAAATTCGCCCAATTCGCAGTGCTGTATTTGGGGAGGAAATCTGGCCGGCAGCAGGGTACGGACAGACCATGTACTGCATCCGTCAGAGGGTTGGCCCCCTCTACATGAAGATGGAGAAGAGATTTGGTAATTTCTATCCACATTTGGTGATGATTCATTCTTTTCAAGAACTGTAAAATTTGAGGTTGGATTCAGTCTCTGAATGTTTTCTAACTGAATTTAGGGAAATGGGATGGTGCTGCTGAGCTCAGTGAGAAGGAGATCATCAGGGCTGAGAGGAACTCCGGGGTGATCAGCAACAGGGTGAGGGAGATCCAGGTGAGTTTACACGCATCAAGAAACATAGATTCTGTCTCTTTTGATCTTTTCACTCATAGGAATTCGCAGATTGTTCAGTTTGTGTAGCTGATCATGTCATGCCAATGTCTTGGAAATGTGTGCAGCTGCAAAATTACCAGAGGAAGATGGAGCAGAAGATGCAGAGAGAGGAGGATCTTCGCATGGGGCTGAGGCTGTACAAGTCAGTGAAATAGTTCTTCGAATTCTGCATTGAGATTGCTTTAGTTCTGAACTCTGTTGACTGACTTGTTCTGAAAAATTGACTTCAGGGATGGTAAATATGAGGAGGCATTGGAGAAGTTCGAGTCAGTTTTGGGATCAAAACCTGAGATCAATGAGTCTTCCATAGCTAGCTACAATGTTGCCTGCTGTTACTCGAAGCTTGACCGGGTTCGATATTTCTCTCAATATGAAAAGCAAATCTGCCACTGAATGTCCATGAACTCATGTGGATGTTTCTTTCTGCAGATACAAGCTGGTATTTCTGCACTGGAAGATGCCCTGAAAGCAGGTTATGAAGACTTCAAGGTAACCAGACAACAACTCTTTTGCAGTACAGATAAGCATTCTTCATGACTAGTGACACATTTTGCTTGATTTCATGAAGAGAATTCGCACCGACCCGGATCTAGAAAACTTGAGGAAAACTGAGGAATTCAACGTCCTGCTGAACAAGTACGACGAATCGTTCATCAATGAGAATGCTATCAACGCCATCAAATCCTTGTTTGGATTCAACAAGAAATGAGCACTGAACTGGTCATGGTGGTAGGAGATATTGCATCTTTTCTCCAGCTGCAGTTGAACACTTCTGAAGCTTTGCTAGGCTATATAGCACTTGGCAAACACGGTTCAATTTTTCTCCCTGCCATTAGTTCACACTTCACACACCAGTAGTTTTAGCTATTCTTGGTGAGATTCTGCAGAACGGTTTCAGTCTTCCCTCTTACTGTAACCAGTCGATGGAGATACACTTTGTAAATTCAAGCAACCAAATGTTAAGGAAATATATTGTGATTGTGCTTATAAATTTATCCCAAATAGTATGTTACGCACAAAGATAAAACTAGGCAGCTGGCTCTTGAAACAACAATGGCAGATATGTGTATGATAACATCGGGGCATTTGCAAATTTACCACTTTTTTTTTCCAATTTTGCAAGGAATGCAACTCAAATTACAGTTTTAGTAGTATTTTTACAATTTTCTAGTTGCAGTCTTATAATAACGATTTGAACCACTAGCAAATTTGCAATTGTCCCTAACATGAATAGCAGGATCGTGGTTCTAACAAACATATCAAAATTACAGGAGCCAGTGAGCAACAATGGGATGAACCTGATAGTATCACTTACTTTATCATTCAGCGCACTATGATGAAAAAATTAAAAGGCACATGTTTAAGTGAGCGAAAAATTGCATTTCACAAAAAGGGCCATCAGAGAAAAGATACCCACATACTACTATATGTCAATCTATGTGAGAATCAAACCTCTGAGAGCCTGTTTGTGTGAGGACTGGTGATAAGTTCGATTTTCAAATTACATGACATCGAACAAATACCCCTTTCATCCATAATAGAGCCAGTGTTACATATGGAGTTAACCATCAAGTCGAATTATTAGCATAGTACTTTTTCTGAACAAAAAGGAAAACTGTGGTGGAACATGTCCATTGTTCCGGTGTAAAGCAAAGAAACAATCGGATGCCAAACGTGTGGCAACTAAAATCAGCAGTCAAGCTCCCACAGAATCTTTGCGGCATCTTCAGGAAAAACTGGATTAATGTAGCATCCGCTTCCAATCTCAAATCCACCGATTAAACTCAACTGGGGCACTATCTGAAGGAACCAATGTGTGTAAGGAAGACAGGATGATGAGACTCCAAATGGTGCGCTGTGTATCATAAAGTTGAATGGAGGGTCGTTGAGCTGCTTAGACAACTTTGCCAGCATGGTCCTCAATAAAGACCCAAGATCCAGTGCCTGCAGACATCATTGCAATCAGTTAATGCAACAAAAAGGCAATAGAAATAGTCAGGCAGTATGAGCATACAAGAAACTGAAATGGACAAACCAAGAAATGAGCAACAGGATCAATGACTAGAGCACACCAACATGGATGAAATAGAACTCACGTCTCATTTACATCAAAAGAAAGAGAACACAGAAAGCATCAATAAGCACTGAAAGGGAAAAAAAAAGTAAAGTAAATCAAAATGATTTAGTGCACAGATGTCCCACAGCATATGTGACCCAGTATGGTGCGCTCAAAGCCAGATGAGGAACTCATAAATTTCCAGAGAGACACAAACGTGTCATGTGCTGCTTGTGGCTGTAGGAAATGACATGGCACATAACGTAGCTGTAGTATTAAAGGTGTGGTTATTTAATAGCTAATGCACAGCATTTACAGGCCAACATTTAATCAGGATTTAGAAAGACAATTTGCTAATTTCCATGTGACACACCAGAGTAAATGTAAAACACTAATTACTGAATTCTAGCAGTAGTATAGGCATATCACAAAAAGCAACAAGATATCTAAGCACCCTAAGTCAATCGAACCAATAGCTGAAAGCATATTGCATTATTGCCACTGCATTGAACTTGGTTCTCATGGCAGCCAACACTTACACCTGGCAATTACAATAACTGGGCATACAGGCGTTGAATATTTAAACTTGGCTGGTTAAGTCCACGTTTAACCACTTAACTACCATTCTAGCATACACATTGAAGCTTGAAATATAGACAGATGGACTTACTTCAACAATGAGTAACAAATTGTGAATCACATACACAGAAGGTAATATGATACAAGCAAAGAAGGAAAAAATATACAAATTGTGAATCACATAAACTTGTAAACGAAACTGTAGTATGAACCACTAAGCATAATATGATAATGGCACATAAAAACGAATTAGGAACAGTACATACCGTATCCTTGTCTATTTCATGGAAATAGGAACTATGCTGTCTGGGAATAATCCATATCTCAAAAGGATACGATGCTGCAAAAGGGACAATTGCAGAAAAATTGTGTGTTTCACGGACCAAAATATCCTTGGACTGGAACTCACAAAGGCTGCACTTCCCCAATCTCTCGAAAACCTCCTTCATGCAGTTAAGCCGGGTGGTAACAGAGGGAGGGACAAAGGGAGTTCCTAACATCTGGCTATGTGAGTGTGCCATTGAGGCCCCAGCAGATGCACCATGGTTCTTAAATACCTGGTCATTTTCACAATAAAAGAGATGCTTGAGCTCAATTCAAGGAACTTAGCAACAAGCTACTGTTAACATGTATTGGATCACAACAGAATCAACAAATTCATGGCTAGATTTAAAAGTCAGAACCATTTATGTCCATGTGATCAAATATGTAACTGATACAAAAAGGGTCTTATGCAGTTTAGTTAAATTGATATACTTCACTATTCAACAGAGAATATCAACCACAAGTTTCTACAAAAGACAACTGAATTCAATAGGTATAAGTGTAAAAGTATAAAACTTATGCAGCTGTATTAGTTTTCTCTAGCATTATACAGCTGTATTGTTTACCTTCTCTGCAAGTGATCAATGTGTTGTCAGTTACCACTTTCATTGGTAGTAAGCTGGATTAATTTGTAGTTTAGTACACTGACACAGTCTTCAATAAAAGAATGCCATCCATAAGTTTCTACTATATCCAATAAAACTCGTATATAAGTGTAATTGTGTGAGAAGAACATGAAAGTTGTTTACGGTTCAAGAGACCACGGTGTAACCATCCAACTTATCACCATTCCTGTTTCCTCTGGTGGTAAGTACCAACCATCCATGAGGAGGGATTCCTCAAACTGCATTTGCGCATAACACATTCATGCAGTCTGGAGTCTCTCAGCGGACAATAGTCAACATGTGAAAACTACAACTGACACAAGCATGAGTAAATACTAGGGTGGTGTCTTTACCTTTGCCTCAATGACTGGGCATGCATGGCTGCCAGCTGGTCAAAGGCAAGATTAACCAAGATATCCAACATGTCAAGATAATCCAGTAAAATATTGGCATTGTCTGCTTACTTTCCAAAATTACCATGTTTTCCAGGTCAGGCAAGGGGCTCCTACATGGAATGGTTCGTTGCATGCTCAAGAAATGAAAATTTTTGAAGCATAAGCAACACACTAAGTGACAAAAACTACTCCAGCTATTGGCACTCCACACTCACCTGGTGATCACTATTAACTTATAGAGTGCTCAACAACTTTAACATTTAGCAACCAACATTTCGAGTCTTATGCAAATGCAGAATAGAACAGTGGGAATTATTATTTTGTTATTATGTTTTAAGCTAGAAAGTGCATGATTATTGTCCATTTCTGTTAACCAAGAAAGGTGAACTTAGGGCTAACAGAAGTGCCACTGGATGGAACAAAAGGTGCATATCAAACAACTTACAACCTAATTGAACTATCAGTTATCACAGTACATATCAAAAAGTGCCTCATTGAACTATCAAACACCATGCAACCTAACCTACAAACAAGCATGAGTCTGGTCTACCAGGTAAGAAAACTATCCATGGGAATACACAAGGTATCAGATGATTATGGGAACTGCACAGATCAATTTTGCCCCATCTCCATATCACACAGTGGCCATACAATACATACATTGCACAAAGAACATATACCAATCAGCACGACTGTATCTCCACTGAACAAGTTCTCAAATTCTCCCCAATAACTGTATTGTAATCTAGCCACTAGTGATTTCTCAATTATCAGCTCCCACCTATTTCTTATCTAGCATCAATTATCATCCTCCTATATTCATGCATTCACATTTCTTCCATTCCTCTCTCAGTTATTATGGTCTCCAATGAACTTGTCACCATTTACCAAATGACCCAGACAGCAAAAGCGCTAAACTCAGTAACCAAAAAAACGAAAATCTCTACCTGTACATACTTCACCGCAGGGTGCTCCATGAGCTGCCGCACGCGGCGCGCGTACGCGAGCAGCACGTCGCCGACCCCGGCCGCGTCCAGGTCCCACAGCCGCACGTCGTGGCGCGGCGTCTCGATGACCACGTCGTGGAACCCGAACCCCACCACGGCGCGCTCCCCGGGCGTCGCCTCCCCCTCCCCCGCCTCCTCCGGCGCCGGCGGCTCGGCGTCGCGCCGCAGCGCCGGGTACAGGTTCTCGATGACGCGGATCCGCCAGGGCGACGCGTCGGGCGGCGCCGGCACGCGGAAGATCTCCGGCGCGCACTCCGACTCGCGGCCCTGGCAGAAGGGGCAGGACGGCTTGGGGGCGCCGGCGGCGGCGCCGGCGCCGGGGCTAGGGTTGGCGGGGGCGTGCGACTTGAGGTCGGTGGGGCGCCGCGAGCGCGCCGGCGAGAAGACGACCCAGCGGCCGAACACGGCGTCGCGGCGCGCCTCCGATGTTCTCGAAGCTTCCGCCGCCATCGCTGAGCTCGGTGCGGCGGTGGCGCCTTCGTCTCTTCTTCTCCACTCTTCGAGACGGTTGTGCTGCCGCAAAAGCGGACACCTGTGACCGACATGTGGGGCCCACTCGTCATAGGGAGCCCGTGGACTGCGCCTCGTTGCTTCACTGGCTAGTGGGCCCTGGGGTTGACTATTCCGTCGTCGGTGCGGGGGATACTGGGTCTCAGATCTGAGACTGAACAGTGGGCCATAGTCATAAACTCTGATCGGTTGGTTTGAATTACGAGGCAACCGGCCGAGAAGATGTTTGGAATCGATGAATTTCGTGAGAGCTAAGGCTGTGTTCGTTTGGACGTTTTCCCAGCGCGCTATAGTAACACGGAAAACGGAACGGTTCATTAACACGTGATTAATTAAGTATTAGCTAATTTTTTTTTCAAAAATGAATTAATTTGATTTTTTAAGCAACTTTTGTATAGAAACTTTTTGCAAAAAAGTACACCGTGTAGTAGTTTGAAAAGCGTGCGCGGGGGTAAAACACTGTAGCGCGCTGGGAAAACGTCCAAACGAACACAGCCTAAATCAAAGCAAGTTCAGATTCATCTAAAATTTGCACATTTCAAGGTGTGATAGAAATTTGGAATCCATAATTCATCTACTTTGTGAAAACCACATTGATATTCTTTTTAAAGAAAAACGATAGTACAAATTAACGACGTCTCATGCATGTTGACAGGATGATGATTGAGGCACACGGAGGGCACGGAGCCGGCCAATAATTGTGCGTGCGTGTTTATGCGCTCGGTCGGTCGATCGCCTCGTGCGTTGGAAGAATTTTGTTCTGCTAATCGGATCAATCTTATAGACGCGTGGTTGACCACTTACAATGACACGGCATATGCGTATTTAGGTAGGAGAATTATCACTACTTACTCAGCTCCATTACAAATCAACTTTTATAATCGAGCCGTGGCAGATAGTACAATCAAATACAAAATTTATTCCCCGCAAAAAAAATAAAAAAATTATTAATAATAGGTTATTTATATTTAAAGGAATAAAAAAACAATATGCACATACTTTGACTGTGCTCCTAACCCACACTCAAAAAGCGAGAACGACGGAAAAAAAATCTAACTAACTACTTCCTCCGTTTCATAATATAAGTCATTCTAACATTTCTCGCATTCATATAATTATTAATGAATCTAGATATATTTATATATCTAGATTCATTAACAACTATATAAATGTGGAAAATGTTAGAATGACTTACATTGTAAAACGGAGGGAGTAACTAGCATATATATAATTAAATGTTTTGTTGCTTGAAAGAGTTATATATTTTAAAAATTGTTGATTACGAGGTAAAGCATGCGAACTAAAATCCCACAACGACAAGCTGAAAATTCGTTGATTTTTTTTTTTTTGCAAATACTAGTATCGTGCCATCCATGTTTTACAGTACTATTGATGCCAACTATATTTCATAAAAGCATGTTGTATCACGAGAAAACGGATAAGCGAAATCCGGGATCTCCCTTTCAATTTTAGGACCACTCCAGATTGTCGTGCTTTTCCTTACCAAAATATGGAATTCTCACACCACCACAACATAGAATCAAGCAATTGAAACAAAAGAGTGGGACAAACATGAAAAAACTATATCACACATAAGTTCCGATGAATGGTGAAAACATTTTCATAAATTATGCCATGAAGATTTTGATCAAAATACATTGAACGTTGTTGCAAAATCAAATAAGAGCTAGCCATCATAAAAAAAATGTGTGGGCACTTAGAAAATTTCCAACCCTCAAGCCATGAGTTCAATAATTCTTTATATTGGTAAGAGCTTTTACTGACATGACAGACCCACCTATTAGTGACCCAAAGTTCTTACTATAGTACTTTCTTTGGGTTGATAATACTTGTTGTTTTGAATAACTATGTTATCAAACTTTAAACTTTGACTATGAATAACATTCAAAATACTCGTAATAGAAATATGAAGACCATATATACAGATTAGTCTTAAAAACTATTTAAATAAAATCATGTTTATTGGTATTTATATATATATATTTGTCGGTGACATGGGACCGGGAGTATCATGACTTAGAGACTTGAGGCAGACACGATCACCCACGTGGCCTAACCCCCTCGGGGGGGGGGGGGGGGGGTCGGGCCCGAGGGTGATACGGCCGCCCTTCTCTTTGTCTCCCGAGGGGTCGGACCGCTCCCGTTTCGGCCCCGAGGGCTGGGGCGCCCCGACCCCTTGTGGATTTTGCGCCGCGTGTATGGGTTAGGTGAGCGCAGCGGCGCTCACCTAACCGCATTTATTGAGGTTTGGACGAGCGCGTCACGCCGCATGTAACGCAGTGCAGCGCGCTCGTTCATCCGGTCAGTGACCAGTCACAGACCGATCAGATCGTGGGTTAGGTGGCGACAGGCGGTCTGACGCACGCCTCGCCCCATCCCGTCAGGACGAGAGCCTCCAAGCACTCGTCCCTAGCCGGAGCCGGCGTGTTAGCTCCTGGAGATGGCACGTTGGTTCCGGTCAGATATATGCCAGGCTTCATCCTAACCATTACAGGCAAGATATTGTATGAAGAAGGGCGAACAGGCAGATTGTTAAACTGACACGTGGTGGACAAGAATGACCGATTTGTGACCGGTCTGATAATGGTCATGTCGTCAGCAGACAGCCATATTCCCACGTCGCGCCTGCTTCCGGTGGAAGTGGAGGTAGGTATGGGCCGTCCCATCAGAAGGTCATTCGGACGGCAGCCATGCAAATCTCCGTCCATTAATGAAGAGAAGTCAAGTTGGAGGGAAGAGAGGATGAGTCCCCACACAAAAGAAAGAGAGGGAGAGATGGTGCATGTGGTATCCCCTTGAGATATAAAAGGAGGACCTTGCCCACTTAGAGAAAAAGGAAAAAAAACGATCCCAGAACGATCGGGGGCTGGCTCGCACTTTGTAGCTTCTTCATACACAGATCCACCAAAACACAGGAGTAGGGCATTACGCTTCTCAGCGGCCCGAACCTGTATACATCGCCCGTGTCTTGTGTGTTTCCACTCTCGCGAACTTTCCACAGGCTAGGAGCTTAGAACCTCACCCAGGGCCCCCGGCCGAACCGGCAAAGGGAGGCCTGTGCGGTCTCCCGGTGAGGAGCCCCAAGCTCCGTCAATATTGTAATAAAAAAAGTGATCAAAGTTATTTCTATATATATTATCAACCCAGAGGGAATACTACACAACCATGCACACACGCATGTAGGTGGGCACGGGTGGTGCATACATGGTATGAAACAAAACTCATTCTCGCAAGAAAAGGGAGCCATGGTGAAGGCACAAAGTGCTCAAAGGCAAGCATTTTATAGAGTGATATTCACGCCAACCTATTTCATAATGATTGTCATACCTAACATGCGGATAAATAAAATCCATGATCTCCCCCTTCAGTTACATTACCAGTTCACACCGTCACTCGTACACATTTTCTTTCTATCATATAACATTTCACTCTATACTATTGTAAACCCAAGTAATTGAAACGTAGCACAAGACAAATAGAAAAATGACACCACATTTAAGTTAGGACGAATCATATAAATATATTCATAGACTTGTGACACAAAGATATTATCCAAAACATACCGATTTTCGTTGTGAAATCCAATCAAGGGCTACAAAATCAATATTTCACATTGGCAAGAGCTTAGCTGATGTGGTAGACCTACATGTCAACGACTCAACGTTCTTTCTTACATCTATGCATGCACATATATAGGCTAACATGAGTGGGGGCACACGGTGCAAAACAACTCACTCCTAGAGAGGGAGGTACGGTGAAAGCAAGGTGAGAGCCCAAAGACAAGCCACATATTTTATATAGTAACATCTATGCCAACTATGTTTTATAGAAGATTATCATCATAAATAAAATATGCGGATAAATGAAATCCCAAATCTCCCCTCTTTAGTTATAGGACCGGTTCACCTTGTCGTATTGTGAACCTTTTTTTTCTGTTACAAAATACTTCACGTTGTATTATTGTAGCCCAAGTAATTTAAACATAGCACACAACAAATAAAAAAACACCATATTTAAGTTAGGACGAATCATATAAACATTACTCAGAGTGACGCAAGGATTTTATCCAAAATACAACGACTTTTGTTACAAAATCCAATAAGGACTAGCCATCATGGAACAAGATAGACACATCCCAATACTCCAAAAACCACACAAGCCACAAACATGTCAGCATTAATGTCTCTACGCCAGCGAGAGCTGTACCTAGGGTGGGCCCTACTCCGGCAGTGACCCAACGTTCTTAAACACAACCCTATGCACACACGTAGCACACAGGTTGGGGGAGAGAGATATATATAGAGAGAGAGGTGGAACACACGACACAAAACAACCAGTGCTCTCAAGGAAGGGGAGGCGAAGCGAGAGAGCCCAAAGCCAAGCCCACCACCACAAGGGGGTGGAGCTATCTCGCTCTCGCAAACACCACAACGAACATGCCACCAACAAGGACGTGGGGAGAGAGAGAGAGAGAGAGAGAGAGTTGTGTTTCCTTACATACATATTTTTTATTGTGTTCCATTACCCACACTGATAGGGTGAGAAACAACACAAAAATATCTTACTAACTAGCATATATATAATTAAATGTCTTTCTTTCTCGAAATAATTCCATCTTCAAAAAAATATTGATTACGAGGTAAAGCGTGCGAACTAAAATCCCACAACAGCAAGATGGAAATCCCTTGATAATTTTCTGCAAGTATTAATATCGTGACATCCATGTTTTAGAGTAATATCGATGCCAACTGTATTTCATAAAAGCATATAGTATCTACAAGATGTGGATAAACGAAACCCAAATCTCCCTCAATTCTAGGGCCGGTTCAAGGTGTTGCACTTTTTCCTTGCATTACATGACGGGAAATTCTACCGAACATAAAACCAAGCAACTGAACTTTGTATCACATAGAAAACAAGTGCGAGACAAATAGAAAAAAAATGTATCACACATAAGTTGGAATGAATGGTGTAAACATTTTCATAAATTATGTCACGAAGATT